GTGTGTGTGTGTGTGTGTGTGTGTCCCCTGCAGACTTGAGCCACCAACCTCTCCCACGCGTTTGTTTTCCCCTCCCTTTTCTACACTAGCTGAGAGAGGCACAGCCTCTGCTGCTGGCACCTGTTGCTAACAGGAGGCAGATGAGGGACACCTGCATCAGTTAACGAGGAGGACATCTTCAAATGATTTCTTTAAAACTTTAAGGTTTTTAAGAGCAGTGGTTTCTTCTCGGGAAAATATGAGCTGATAAAGGCATGAGGACAGTACAAAGAGAAGGGTGTAAGATGAGTTAGGCTTTTTCAAGGTGCTTTAGGCAGCTTAGCCTCTCCTAAGCAGCCACCCTTAATGTGGGCCGTTCTCTTCTGCCAGAGCCCAGCTTGTTTTATCCAGGTACGTGATGCATAGCTGTGTTGTTAGCAGACAACAGAGAGGAACAGGAGAGAACAGTCCTACTTCCCCATCCCTGGAAACATTCCAGGTCAGGTTGGACGGGGCTCTGAGCAACCTGATCTGGTTGAAGATGTCCCTGCCCACGGCAGGGGGGTTGGACTAGATGCACTTTAGAGGTCCCTTCCAACCCAAACTATTCTATGATTCTATACCTCATGGGACAGACAAAGCTCTCTGGAGCCTTGCCCATGTTCTGAGCTTAGATCTACTATTTAAGACCCCCAGGTTTATAATGAATTTTGCCTGCACCAACAGCCTGACTGTCAGGCTGGCTCATCTCTTATCTGAGCTCACAAGGATGCTTCCTCTGGAATTCTGCCAAGTTCCATATTTCAGGCATCTGGGGACTAAGCAACAATCATAACAATTAATTCTTCAGCAGCAATTCCCCTCCAAGAATCATGCACGGTTTTATAAATGTTAATCAAATGAGCTTCACAGTACTGCTGGGAAGCAGTTGAATGGCATTCCTGTCTCCCTAACTTGCAGATGGGAAAACTGAGGCGCGGCATTCCTGTAAGGTTATGATTTACCCAAAGTAACTGTTTTTTTTTTATGGTGGGTTTTTTTTCAGGCATTTTAAGTGGATTTGGTATATTGTTTGAGGTGTCTGCCAGAACAAGGGTGAGACCCTACTGGGAATCGGGTGATTTGGCTAACAGTCCTGGCTCTGAGTACAGCTTCCAGAAAACATTATATACTTTCCTTAACGAATTAACTGATTATTCCAGACTTACTGCTTAGCTCTTTCTGAAAACCGGAATAGCGCTAATGTGGTGCTTCATGCAGCCTCTGTCTGCCGTGGATCATTTGCATGTAGGACCAGGGATAATCTTCTTGCTGATTCGCATATCCTCAGTTCAAGAGACACTCCACCTACACTACATAGACGGTGTGCATCAGCCAGCCTTACTGTCCAACTGTTTCTTTACATAAATGTCCGGGGGGGGGTTGTTGAATGCTTCAGCATCTCTTCAGGCTGTTTGTCAGGAGCTGGAATGTCTTTTGTCTGCATCTTGAGGACTGAGGAGGCAGCCTGTGGGATGAGGGATTCGAGTCTCAGTTTTGCCTCTATTCAGCACATTCTTTTTTTTTTTTTTCCCCTCCTGCTCTCATTAATTACTTCCTCATGTGCTGGTTCCTGCCTGAGAAACACTGGGAATTTCTGAGGTTTTGACAGACAGGACTCTGGAAAAGGTTAAAATCCTGAATTAGGGAATGTCTATCTGAGAAAGATTTGACTGACAGAGTTTCTGCAATCTAGCACTTTACTCTTCTACACTGCAATAAACTCAGCTGTAGCTTTAAGTCCATATTTCTGCACCAGATCTAGGGCCAGATGAATAGTACAGCCCCAGCAAAGAGCCAAAGGGTTTGCTTCTTGCTCGTGCTTTGCCAGTACTTATGTTATATGGCCTGCTAGTGCATCCCAGTAAAGTGAGAGCTGATCCCACTTCCCCTGCAGTCAGTGATAAAATCCCCCACTTCGGTCCTGTTCTTCCCCATCAAAAAAATATAAGGGCCCACAGCTTTAGCTACTCTTATAAGATGTTTTCCAGTTTTCAGGAAAAGCTAAACTGCAGGACCCCAAAGAGATCAGGGTATCTCCGTAGAGCACTCATAATAAACGGCCAAAATCAGAGCAAGCTTCTTCACAAAGATGGGAAAATAACAGCAATGAGATTGGACTTCCTCATTCTAGGGAACATTCCCCCATAATTGAAGTCTCTGTTCTAAGACCCATGGCACAAACCCCCATCTTCAGAGAGTTCATTTTTATTGTGCCTAATTTGTATTTAATATTGTAGTCTGACTAGATCTTTATGCTCATCTGACTGGGATAGATCAGAAATTCTCTTCGCCAAAGATTTCTATGCACCAGATGAAAAGAGGACATCTTGATGATTTTGCAAGGCCTAGTTTGGATACTTACCTGCTATTCACTTTTGCACTTTTCTCTTTTAACCATGCATTTTTTCTAAAAAGGGGTTGTCACATCAGCCAGCTCAGAGGGTACTTCCTTGAGCAAATTACTACAACATCCCACATCTCTAAAGGTCTACAGCCACTAGGCACGAGTATTTTCAGGAAGATACAGAGGAGAGAAGCATCCTGAGCTAAACAAATTGACCATAGGTGACAGCTCTCTTCAAATCCAACTCAAAATGCTTTGTGCCTCAGGGATTATCTGATCATCTCCCTTTGCTTCCTCTAATCCAATGGGTGATCACATCTGATGATAGCTTTAAAATAATAATCTGAACAAAACAAGCAATTCCCATGGGAAAGCTCAGACTGTATGTACTTGTAAAGAAAATGCCACTTCTTCCCCTGTAGAGCAAGCCATGAGTATTAACCATCTGCACAAATATTGCAGTCCTGGAAAGCTCCATCCTTTTAATCAGAGCTTTGGATTTCATAGCAGGCATTTGTCGGCTGTGGGAGAGTTTTCAGCCACGTTATGTAAACGCTGTCAAGAAACCAAGTGTCTGAAAAAGATGCATGGAAGGAATGTGCTAGTAGGAGACAGAGGGGAGGCTTTATTGTTTAGGGGTTGCAGTTTCACAACAGTTTTTTAAAAACCTACTGATCAAATTGGCAACATCCACAACCCATTGAAATTGGCTAAGCAGGACACTGTAGCCCTACAGCCTTTATGGGTCTTGCAAGTGCCTTCCAGGGAGACCTACTCTAGGAATCTAGTGCATGAATGTTGGAGGGTGTAGGCTGAGCAGGAGAGGAGCTTGAGGCAGGAGTCTAGTGTATGAGAAATGACAGGCACATTTAAAAAATAAAGTTCTCTCAAGTGGGCATCTGTGCATGTATGTGCATGAACTTACAGCATTAGAAGTGTCTGCATGTCACGCACCTCCTGGAGGTGCCTGCCCTACCACACACGGAAATCCCAAATTAATTTCTTGCTGGAGTGAAAGTGCCCTAAATTAAACAATTCCTACGGGCAGCTCTCATCTCAGTCTCTCCGAGGTTAAGGGGTGGGAAAGCTGAACCATTCCTTCCTTCCCATAACAAGAAGTGACAGCTTCTAATTAGGATCCATTAGAGGGTGCCCCGGGGAACCAATGGACCATTTTGCACTCAGAATGCGTTGTTGAAATTATTTTTTGTCTTAGAACGGCATGTTGGCCCAGCTACCTCGGCTATCTTCCCCAAGCCTATGTACGTACGTACTTTGAGTCATCTCACTGCTGTACTATGCCTAAAAGTAAGCATATGAGATCTCAAGAAATCTTGATGCTCTCACAGCCCTGTCAGACCTTAGGGACAAGTGCTGAGGAAACTGTGGGCATGGCCATAATATAAGAGAATGTGAACGGGGGAACATAATGAGCATAAACCCTGACTTTTTGAGGTACAAGGTTCTAGGGTCAAACATCATCTAGAAGAGCATTCCATAGAAACTGGAGCTCGAGGAGATCTATGCTTACATCCACAACTACTAGAAGATGTGTCAACACAGCCAGCAGGCTGACACCAGTAGAAAGCCAGTATTCATCTATAAAGACTGTTGGTAACTTCAAGTTCACAAAACATATTTTAAGTATAGGGCAATCAAGGTACAGAGCAGATAAGCTACCTCCTTGAGGCCCTGAAGAATCGTACCTTACCCCAGTTTAGTGTACAGCAGTGTTCCCAGTCCTTCAGTAAGAGCACAGCTGTCCAGCAGAAAGGCCAGAGAAGCAT